CTCTACTACTTGGAAGAGCCTTCTTAGCCACAGTTGGAGCTGTTTGTGACCTCCAAACAAACAAGCTCTGCCTAACCCTAATCAACCCTTCCATTCACTACGACCCTGTTCCAGTAATCAAGTTCCCAAGGCCAGCCAGCTCAACACTCGTAGCCACATGTTTCTGTGCCCACGAATTTGATTCTATGGAAGAGTATGAAACCGAAGAAGCAATATCGACCGATGACACCACTTCCCCATCGATCGATATCCTTGCAGCACCATCGACCGACAATACTACCTGGTCATTGCTCGATGGAGTCTTCCGACGGACCGAAGCCGAGTTCCCAGAAGCTGATTTCAGTGCAGAAGATTGGGAAAACGATCACTACTTGCCCGAGCTTGCTAGTATCACTCCTCAGGAGGAGTATGATGAAGATTACGAGGAGGAACGAGATAGAGAGTACCGATTTCTTCGAGAAGATGAAGAACAACCTCCATTCCCGAACTTCATCCAACGAGCATCGACCGATATGACACCTAGTCCATCGATCGATATGCCCTACCCCAGATCGCGCAAACGACGGTTCGAATCAACAAGCGACGAACCCTACTGCAAACCCGTCTATGTCCCACACGAACCACGAGATGGAGATTACTCGATTGGAAGCTGGGCCAGAGGTTATCACGAAAGTTTTGCAGTAGACACAGCACCCCTACAAGCCGCGACTCAACCTGCAGATCCCGTATCGCTCGACAAGGAGAACAAGCCATCGACCGACACGACCTACAAGCCATCGACCGACGAAGACATTTCTCCATCGATCGATATCAATCACAGACCACCAACCGATCCTGCCAAAACACCATCTGAGGTACAACTACCAAAATTCGATTTAAATTCACTAATTCCAGATGAGTTTGGTATTTTCAGGGATTCAGATGGTCATGCACGTGCTATAGATGGGAGAATCATTCCTATCTCGACAGAAGATGTTGCAGACATACTCCAGATGGCCAATGGACCTATCATCGAAAACGACCCGAACCAGACAAAGCGCCCATCGACCGATGCATGGAGACTAGCATCAATCGATACACACCGAGAGTATGGGACGAGAGCTTTCCAAAACGGAGAACGTCGTTTCTTTTTAGAAAAGAAAGATGAATATGGAGTCTACAGAGATGAATCTGGCCATGCAAGAGCAGTAAACGGAGACATCATCCTTATCACCAAAGAAGATATGGAAAACTTACTGAAGAGAGCCTCACTATTTAGTCGCTCTTGTTTCTGTCTACCAGGATATGCTGATCAGTTTGATAAAGGAGTTCCAGATGGCAAGCTCTACACACAGAAAGAAGTCACCTACATGCTAGATGGCCTCACCAGCAATCACACCTGGAAGTTAGCAACCATACCCTATGAATATGAGAAAGCACTATCAAGACTTTGGGGTGAACTACTCTGGAACACCATCAACCCTGATTTAGTACGGTATGAAAGAGAAGCCCTTGAAGAAGAAATCAAAACCCTGCGCGCGCAACTGAAGTCTCAGACACAGCCATCAACCGATACAGATCCCCCTGCATCGATCGATACACCCGTACTTAACCCGATCGAGCACCACTTACAGAAGCTATCGATCGATGACAAACCCAGTCCATCGATCGATACCCGTGCTCAAGAATTCTGTACCAGGGAAGAACTTGAAGAAATCACAGCAGAGATCTACAAATCCATTGAGTTTTGTGGAGACGAAGATTACAGAACATTGGACGAATACTGGTTTCCCCTACACAGTGATTTCAAAGGTCTGCAATGCACAATGGAAGATATTCAGAAGGAGGTAGAAGATATCCAAAGACAGCTCGCCAGCCGACCTGACACATCCCCATCGATCGATGAAGCACACAACGCATCGATCGATATGCAACCTCCAGCCTCACTGACGATCCAACACACCACGACACCATGCAGCGCACAACAGAACACATCTACAGCATGATTGGCAACCATCAGTACAGCCTTGCCAACTTATAGGGGTGGTTAGAAAGGATCCAAGCAGAAGTTTATGGTTTGAAGACAAGCATGACCAGAAGTGAGAAGGCCACAAGAAGCTTTCTAACCTCTTGGTTTGATGAAACACAAGAAAAGGAGGACACTTGTTTACCAACAAGTACCTGCAACCAACCTCACTAGCAACCATACTTCCATAGTCAAGCTAAACTGACTTTAAACAAGCGCTGAGTGGGAGGCAACCCACTGTTAGGTATTTTACTTACTTATTTTATTTTATTTTTACTTACTAGTTTCGTTTTTATTTGTTTTTAGGAAGATAGACACACGTTCCATACCTATCGACCAATACGAACCAGTCAATATCGCTCGACAGAGACCAATACGCATTGATCGACGATGGCGACTCACCATCGATCGATACCCATATCGGTCAGGTATATCGTTTCCAATTTTTGATATCAGTTACACAGATTTACTTTTTCTTATGCTCTAACTCCGACTAATTATACACTGAGGACAGTGTATGATTTAATCATGGGGGAAGTTGATTACTGATGCTACTTTACCTCTTTTTGATCTTTTTGATAAAGTTTTCAAAAATTTGTTTTATTGAGTCAAGAAAGGGAAAAAATTTCAAAGTCTTACTTTTTATCTTACCACTCTTTAGCACCATCCTTAGATTTATTAATTGCAGAAAATACTATAGATGCTAAAGTGGATCACCGATCACCTATGTCAACACTTTCATGATTGTCTGGAAGAACCAAAGCTGATTTCCAACCTAACCTGACATTTATTGCTTGTCTTGGGGCTTGGTATACAAGTGATCGGAATCCTCTTGCAAGTCTGGAAGGTAAAAGTCTCAAAAATTTTGGTTTCCTTCTTTCCTTCCTTCGGCATCCCCAGAAAATAAAAGATTGAGATGATTTCATGAGAGGCAGAGGGAGAGGGAGAGGTACATTACCTATGACCCCACTATTCGCTTACAATTTGTCAAGAAAGATCAATAAGATGAACATTAACTGTTCATTGGAATTGATATAAAAGAAAGAAGAGTTGGGATTCAGAGAAGGGGGGTAAAGAAAGAAAGGGAACCAGGATGAGAATGCATGAAACTTGTTTGAGGTGAATCCAAGTGTTCCTTGATCGATACTCCCAAGGTAAAGCCTACACCTTTATTTTTATGCATAAATGAAAACAGTAGAGGGGATAGACAGACAAGGAATGTTTAAGTTGATTGGCTAGATGTTTAGGTTGCTAAGCTAGGATAAGGTATAATGTACTTCTGTAGTTGATAGGAATAAGGTGTGGTTTGCAACAAAGTAGGAGGTTATGATTTTTAAGTTGAGATTTTGATTGAGTCCCTGCTGTTTTTAAACTTCTTTTCAAGACTGACTTGATGTTTGCTTGAGGACAAGCAAAAGGTTAAGTCTTGGGGAGTTTATATACCATGATTTTGACCCGCTTTTGGTCATATTTTCTATATGTTTTTATTATAATTATCTATGTTTTGGAGTCTATTAGGTATGTTTTCAGGTTCAGGAGCATTTTGTGGTAAAGTGATGATTTAGGTGCCTTTTGGTGCTTAAAGAAGAGTTTTCCAAGATGACTATGAAGATCCGACATTGAGAGACACATATCGATCGATACACGCCCTGTGTAATCGATCGATGATGCTTCCGTAGAAGTTGAAGTTGAGATACTCCATCGATCGATGTACGCAATGTACCATCGATCGATACAAAGCGTGATGAGCAAGATTTATTTGGCCAACTTGAAGCCCAAGTTCTCACCAAATTAAAAGACTGCCCCTGACGAGTTTTTAACCTAATTGTACTCCCTATTTATAGATATGCCTATGAGCCTTAAAAGATATGAAGGTTTGAACCAAGTTTTGTATTCTATTTTATACTTAGCAATAAAAGAATTTTCTCTTCTTCTTATTCTTTTGCTATGAATCTCTTGGCTATGTCTGAGTATATTCATATGTTAGATTTGGAGTTCAAATAGTTATAAGGGATTAGCCCCAACTATGGATTGTTGAGTTGTTATATTCATTATCCAAATGAACCTTAATGCTTACTCTAGACTTGCTACCTAGAGTATTGATTATGGAGTGACTAATCTAATAGTCATCTTTCTGAAATCATTTGGCTAAACCCAGACTCTATTAAGGCACGATGCGACAGCCGGTCTGATAGAAATTCTCGGGTGAACAAAGTTCGATCCGATCTGATACTTAATATCGATCGATACTCCTCTAGAGTTATTGATCGACGACAGATTATATCGATCGACACTGCGATAGCAACATCGATCGATGCAGTCGGCAATCAGATCAATGGACGAGTCTAACTAGCGACAGCTATAGATTTGTCTAAGGGTTGAAGTTCTCATATATTTGCAAGCAATTCGTTAAGACATCCATAGATTTATAATCTTGAGTTTCTGAATAGTAACCTTGAATCTAACTATTTCTCTTCATTGTTTTCAAACCCAAAACTTATTTTCCTTAGCAACTTATTATTGCTACTTATTGTATTTATTGTTTTAAACCTTTTTCAACCTAGCTTAATCACTTATGATTATATCTTTTGTGACTCTAGTTCCTTGTGGATTCGATCCCTAAGTGCTACGATTGAACCTCTTATTTGAGAGAGTAAAATCACTCCTTAGGTTAAACATTTGAGTGACATCAGAAAGCCTTGTTTCAAAAAATAAAAATAAAAAACAAAAAAAAAACAAAGAGAAAGCCTTAAAACAAAGAGGAAGCTATGTGAAGAAATAAGTTTGCAATAATAACTCGAAAGTGACGCTAAAATACTTTTAGAAAGGGCGAATGTAGTGGAACGTTTCCTTTTACATGTTCTGTGCTCCTTCTTTCCACTCTCATTTGGATCAAGTATCAGACTGCTTGCTGCAGGACGAACGATTGCTGGTACAACAGATGAGGATGGTTGATGGTTGTCATTTCTTGTCTCTCTAACTTTTGGTGTCACACCACCCGCTACCTCTGCATCAGCGTTTTGGTAACCAGAAGAACCCTTTAGTTCTACTGGTTTCTCTTCAGGCTTATCATCATCAGAACCATGGTTATCTTCCTGAGTATATTGTAGTAACAAACTTGAAAATATAATATTCATGAAGCCCTATATTTTAAATCAGTGAAAAGATACTAACATGTATGACAAATTTTGGGAGTTGTGCACACTGTTGCTCAGTAGCGATACGGGAAATGGTGTAATGTTTGGAAGTGAAGTTGAACTCTCCTAGCTTGAGCTGGAAAGTGTACGTTTGCCCACAATAACAGTGAAAAACTTGAAGGAGTTTGTTGTCTACGTGAGCTTTCACACCTACACCTTGCAATCATGGAGATATTTTATTTACAAAGCTAAACATGAAAGTTAGAGCATATTAAAATTTCCATATCCATTATACGTATTAGAGTTACTTACTTTTCAAAAAGTTCTTGATCAACAGCAGTTTCAGAGTCGAAGTAAATATGTATTCCACAAGTGCCATTGAGAAATAACCGACATGCATGATGGTAAGTTAGTTTATAGAGTGATATGTTGGTCTGAGAACACTATAAATCCTATGAACTCGGATAAATTTGTGTGTTTTTGCTGGAGACATTACAAATTATCAGAATCTCACCTCTACCTTGGGATTGATGCTAGTGACCAACACAACTTTTGACTCAGACCCGTAGCTTTCAAATTTGTTATAAAAATACAGAAGCTAAGCCATTGAACAGACTAACACACACATTCACATTCCTGTAAAGTAGCAATGAAATTAAAAAATTGGAGAATACGACAACATACAAAGTAGTAAGAGATGTAGAACACTGGATTTTAAACTGTAAATGCTACCTTTCTATCCGTAGAGTCAGTATTACACACTGTGTCCCTTCGCAAATTGTACACTTAATTACACATAGCTCACCAAGAATTTCTTGTAAATTTTAAGGTATACGTTAGTAAATACAGTGGAAAGATTCTTATTCTTATTCGCAAGATTGCATATAGAAGTAAGGTCAGTAAATACAGTGAAAGATTCTTATTCGGAAGATTGTATATAGAAGTAAAGATTACCAGGTAGCTCTTTCTTGGTATCATCTTACGCCAACGACTGGTCGTGAGTGTGGAACCGGAAGAAATGAGATCTACTATCTAACTAGTTAGATTTATTTTTTCTAAATATGCAAAATAAAACGAAAAAAAAAATCAAACACAACGGACAAACAATGGAGATGAACATAGTAAACTATGCCTTTTATTAAAATCTAAAACTAAAAGAAACACAACCGTCGAATATTCACGTATACTATTGAGATTGTACTGTCTAAATAATTAGAATGATTTCTTTAAATATGCATAAAATAGAAAATCAAACACGACGGACCCATATGCAGAAAAACAATTGAGACAAGCAAAGAAAACTATGCTTTTTATGTTGTTAAAAAAAACTGAAATAAACACAACCTTCAAAGATTAAAAAGAGGTGTGTAATATAGAATGGAAGATGGTGGTTCTGCACAGTAGTTACCTGCTCGTCCATGAGAAGCATGACAACCCATGAGTTGGCCACCTTTCTTAACAATCTGAGTAGACCGGCGGTTATGAACAACAACCAGAGTAACCGAATTCAACACTGACGTATTTGGTTATTAGCAGAGACTGTTCTTCGAGGTTTCATAGAGGTTGTGTTGTTCATCACATGGAGCTTGGAGTTGGACGTTACAGAGAGCTTATTGGCTGCGTCTTCATATGAATCTCTCGGCAGATGAAGATTATGAAACCCTAGCTTTTTTTGGGCTTGTACTAAACATGGTTGGAGAACCCAAAAGTCAATACATTACACATATATGGCTAAACTGAAAACATAACATAAAGGCCCACACAGAAAAAACTACAATCACTTGTAAGTTTAACATTTTTGACATGCCACGTGGTAAAAATTGCCTTATACTCAAAAATGATATGGCAGCATAAGAAGAGACTAAAGCCAAATTTATTATATAAGATTTGATCCATTTTTCCCTACTTTCTTCTTCTTCATTTTTTCTTTTTCTTGCTTTATATGCTTTTTTTTTATTTTTTGATCCAATCTTTGTGCAAGTCTTTTTTGTACAATTCTCGACACGTAGTAGATTAATTTATCAATTTTTCTTTCTAAATTCGTATCAATTAGATGAAAAATCTGATACTCCACCAAAGTTTGTTACATATGTGGTTTTTCTTTCCAAATCCTTCAACCACCAAAAATTAATTTCCAAACACCAATCTTTTGTCAGTCTACTCTTCTTTCTCATCTCATTCTTTCAACCATGTCTCAGTTTATGAATTTTTCATTATGCTTCCAGAATTAAAATTAAGAAATGAATTAAAGATTGCAACTGCAGTATCTCAATAATTGAAAATTTACAGACTATTCTAAGTTTTAATTTAAACAATACATAAATTGTTAGATGATAAATTCCTTATGAGAAAAACATACTTATCAAGTAATAAAATGAAGTAACTTCTAATCATGTACTTAAATTCTAAACAATATGGTAACGGGTTTGTTAAATGATATACCGTTTTAATAAATGATTTGTTACTTGTTACATGATTTGTTATTTGATACGTGTTTTTATAATTTGATATATGTTTTTATAATTTGATATAAAGAGTGAATATCTAAACTGTTAAAACTAAAATACATTTAGTACTTAATTTCACAAAAATTACAAGTGAATGTCTCTGATCTTTTTGTCTTTTAACTATAAACGTAGCATACATTTTCGGATGGGCCTTACGACTGGGCTGTTTTTCTTAAATTATTAACAATCAAAAGAACAAGCCCTCTCCTTAAGGTTTCTAATTACTATTCATTCTCCCACGTGCCGCTTTCTGAAGAAACCAATGACACGTATTATTGAGACGTGTCGGACATGTGAGACGGCAAGCTTGGCCGCCGAGAATTTTCTGTACCGACCCTCCGTTTTTGCTTCTCATCACCGTAAATTCCATGGAAACCTCTTTGTAAGCTCCAAAACCATCTTACCCCACTTCTGCTCCAACCTTTGCTTGAGGATATAGATCTCCATCTACCGCAGATTATAACTCCTAGATAGTTCGGATTGACCCACAAGAGATTTTTTGCTGGGCCGTCTTTAATATAAGAAGACGCCAGCTCTACTAAACCTCCATTAAAGTCACTCGGATATCAATCTTTTACCTTTGCTTCCTTTTTGTTAAGATACTTTAGTAAGAGCCTATCGACTTTCATAAGAAAGTAAAGTTTGACTCTTATTGAAAAGGATTAAGTGCATAACGTTGAATAAATTAAGAATCCATCCCAAGCAAATGGAATCTAACAGTTTATTGCAGAAGAGGAGAGTATCAGATTTTTATAAGATCCGATCAAAGATGGTCGGAGTTTATTAAGACAACAGAATCCTCTCGCGATGATGTTAAGAATATGGTAACCCTTATCTGATTAATGTTAAGATTGACCTGATGACGGAGAGCTAAGAACTACTCTGTTAATGATTCTAGAGAATTTGTCTTTTATTCACTCAAAGAAAAAAAAAAAAAAAGAACAGACTAAACATGATTAATTATACAAAAAGAGGAAGTATGGCGCTATATATTATCAAGTAAGCATGCCTTTGAAGGAATCCAATTGATGAAACAAGAAGCTACATTTGGCATCTCTCGACTCTTTCCATATTCCTGCTAAAACAACTATCACCGCCACTATTATCACCATACTGCTACACTGCACCAACCTCTTCCTCATTAGCTTCTTCTGTTTCTGCCATGATGATGATGATGGAGACGATACATTTTCTTCCTTTTCCTGCATCTAGAATTGTTTCAGCCAGCTTATTAATGTCTTTTTTATTTAATCCATGTCGATATTAGATGCTTTGCTTTCTAGAGATTAAATAGAAACTTACAACATTGCTACGGCTTATTTCTTCTTGACTGTGCTTTGAGACCCTTCCTGTGTTGTTTGGTGTTAAGGCAGGCTTCTGTATTCTTGTCTGCAAGCGGATTCTCCTATGAGCAGTTCCCTGAGTCCTTATATTTGCTGAGTCCGACAAACTTGCATGCCCTCGTACTTTACTCTTGTCCTTGTCAAAGAAGCATTGTTCATTATTCTCCTCTACGATCTGCACATTTCAACAATGGTTATATTGAGAGGGAAAAGTGTAGCTCAATATTTGCTAGGCATGTGAATCCTACCTTGGACATGGCAGACTGCACTTCATCTTCTTCAAAGCTATCTACATCTCTGTCGTTCTTGTTGTTAACCGGCGTGAATGGCTGGTCGATTTGCAGCCGGATTCTTCTAGGAGCAGTGCCTTGGTTCACAACAAAGTCAAGATCCGTCTGAGTCTCTCGAGCCCTAGCGTTAAACTCACTGGGACTAATGTTGTGGTCAACAGGGTGTTGCTGAAAGGATGACTGCTCAAGCTGGTTGACATTAGATTTAAACGAATCCATAGTTGCATAAGAAACAGTAGGATACTGCCCTAAAACGTTGCTATGAAGTGGTGTCACGGTCCTAGAGGAACCGGATGAAGACTGTATCTCTACTGTCTCCTTGCTATCACTGGCTAATCTGGAAGCTCCAAAGTCATGAACAAACTGCAGTACATGAAGAAACACTATGGTCGTAAGTGATTATCAATCATCAGCATAAAAGATCCTTAATTACCTGTGGCTGTGGGCAAGCGGCTTCAGCAGTCCCGTTAACAAAACCAAAGGTGTCTCTGGGAAACGACCAATGCATCATTTTGGGAAGTGCAAACTCTTTCGCTTCACTAGATGATTGGTTATGGAATACTTCATCCAAGACATCTGCCAGGGACTCATCTTGTATGGCGGCACCGTCCTGAAAATGTAGCCCATAATGACAGTTTCCAAAATCGCTAGAGTACATAGAATCCATATGTGATGCAGGAAAACCGATGTTTGGATGCGCTGGAGTGTATGTTTGGTCACCGGTTTGAGCAAAGCTGGGTCCATAAAGACTTGAAAAGTCCCGCGCATATGGACTTTCCTATACAGAAGAAAGTATAAGCTATAGATTAACAAAAAACTGTGATCAAAATACTTGTTACCTCTAGTATGCTTTTTCCCGAAACACGGTCTTTGGCTCGAGAAGTTTCAGCATGATCAACAGATTTCTCAGTTTTAATCATCATTGGATGATCATCAGGCTTGACATCACTTCCCTTGTCGCTTGGACACCTCTCGGTGTCATCTGATATGTTTTGAGCATGTACACGAGAAGTAGCTGTTTCTTGGACCATCTCAGAAGAGTTGTCCTCACGAGAGCCTTTAGTTGTGGTGGGAGTGGCATTGACATTCTCTACTTCGTCACAGTTTGGAACATCGTTAGGCTTGTGGAACAAGCGACACAAAACATACGGATTCTGTTCCACAAGAAACAGAACATATGTCAACAAACAAAGAGGTCACTAATATCAAACAAGAAGCAGAGCAAAGACAAAAAAAAAAAAACAGACCTGACCAGGTCCAGTACCGTCAAGGTCTTTGTCAGTGGCACGATACTCGTGCATAATCCAGTTGGTTCTTTCTCCTCTAGGAGCTCGACCACGATAGAAGACAAGAGTTTTCTTCATACCAATAACCATCTTCTTGGACTTGATAGTTCGATCTTTACCCGTAGCTTTCCAGTATCCAATGTCCGTAGCTCTATTGGAGCGGTGTCCACTCGGATACTTCCGATCACGAGGACAGAAGAAGAACCACTCTTGATCATCCGTCTTTATCACCGAAAGCCCTAGAATCAAGAAAACCAAGAAAACCCTAAAAACCAGAGCTCCTATCATTCATTTCTCAACTCTGATCCTTGAAAACAGCAAAAGAAGAAGAGAGTAAGCTAACCAGGTAAGTCCCATGGCTCCCACTTGCAAACATCGATCTCAGGGATGACTCTGACCTCCAAATCACGGCCGTTGATTTTCAATCTCAGGTAATGATTGATGAGTTCTTCATCGGTTGGTCTGAATCTGAAGCCGAGAGGTAAAGACTCCATCGACAACGTCGCTTGCGTATCCGTCGCCATCCTACAATCTCCGCGGTCACTTGCCTTCTTTTAAAGCTTTTTAGTTTTGTTTTGTTTGGACATAAACCACCACTTGGTTGCTGTGGTCGGTCTGCCAATTGTGCCGTGTTTCGGCTCGCACGTGACGTAAGAGTACACTTTTTTACTGTTTTACCCTTGTCTTTATCCATTTACTACGGAAACTGCCATGGCTCAACCTTTTAAGCAGCGTTTTGCTGTGGCTTTTGACTTGAACAGTTTGCTAAGGCTACGTTCAAGGCAGGGGCCATAATCTACTCATTAGATTCCTTCACGTGGTACTATAAAGCTAAAAAGAGTTTTAAAAAGATGATATTAATAGATGATATTATTTATGTATTTAACTTTTTTCCATTTTTGGGATATCTTTTGTATTATACAAGAAGTAATATCTCGAATACATGTGTTCGACATCAAGCAAGAGTATGTTGTGGTTTGTTTTGTCGTAATCAATGAATACATGTTTTAACT